TCCCAAATTCTTCAAGTCCCAATTTCTCAAGCTGCCATTCATCCAAAGTCCTGAACACCAAATTTCAAATTTTCGAAATCCCAAATTCTCCAAGTCCCAATCTCTCAAGCTGCCATACATCCAAACTCCTGAACACCAAATTTCAAATTTTCAAAATCCCAAATTCTCCAAGTCCCAACTTCTCAACGCCCCAATCTTTCAAGCTGCCATTCCTCCAAAGTCTGAACACCAAATTTCAAATTTTCGAAATCCAAAATTCTCCAAGTCCCAATTTCTCAACGCCCCAATCTCTCAAGCTGCCATTCATCCAAAGTCCCGAACACCAAATTCCAAATCTCCGAAATCCCAAATTTTCCAGGTCCCAAATTCTCAACGCCCCAATCTCTCAAGCTGCCATTCCTCCAAAGTCCCGAACACCAAATTCCAAATCTCCGAAACCCCAAATTCTCCAAACCCCAATTTCTCAACGCCCCAATCTCTCAAGCTGCCATTCCTCCAAAGTCCCCAACACCAAATTCCAAATCTCCCTCCGAAATCCCAATTTCTCCAAGTCCCAAATTCTCAACGCCCCAATCTCTCAAGCTGCCATTCATCCAAAGTCCCGAACACCAAATTCCAAATCTCCGAAACCCCAAATTCTCCAAGCCCCAATTTCTCAACGCCCCAATCTCTCAAGCTGCCATTCCTCCAAAGTCCCGAACACCAAATTCCAAATCTCCGAAACCCCAAATTCTCCAAGCCCCAATTTCTCAACGCCCCAATCTCTCAAGCTGCCATTCCTCCAAAGTCCCGAACACCAAATTCCAAATCTCCAAAATCCCAAATTCTCCAAACCCCAATTTCTCAACGCCCCAATCTCTCAAATTGCCATTCATCCAAAGTCCCCAACACCAAATTCCAAATCTCCGAAATCCCAAATTAGCGAAGTCCATCTGAAAGTTCGAAAATCCGAAATTTTCAAACTCTTGCATATAAAGAAATAATTAATTAAACAAATGAGTGATCTCGAAGGAGAGAAAGAAAGGATATAATCGAAAAAGAAAAATCGATCACCCTTTTCCCGACAGCAATTGATCGAGCGAAAGCATGGAAGCAAAATGGCGAGCTCGCGAGTGAAGAACGGCTATAGTGACGTATTGTTCGAGTTCCCTAGTCAACCATATTTCCAGCGCGAACCGCGTCATCCATCATTGGCCTGATGGAGCAGAAAGGAATCGTGGTTGCTCGTCGACGTCGGCTCGAGAGGTCTCGTTACAGGAAACGGGGTCGATTTTGCGTGACGCTTTACCTGGAAACGGTCGATGCGACACTTTTCTCCGCCGATCGGGCAAATGATAGGCGGAAAATTTCTTCTTTTTTTTCGACGTCTCTCGATCCTTTACAAGCCTTCGAAAGCGTGCTCGTGTCGAGACTCGAGACTCGAGTGTCTCGAAGAGCTATACCTTCTTCGTTCGTTAGGTCGTTCGACTGGTTAATTCGGCATCGATTCTCGATCGAGTCCCAAAGTATTTTCCTCGAGGTCCGTCGAATTCGCAACAGCCATTTTGAACGCCTTTTACCGGGACCTCGATGTTCTATGCAGCAAATTGAATCTGTCGTTAGACGAAATACTTGGAAAATTCGAGAGAACTCGAATATCCTTCGGTAATTGTACTTCAAACTATTCAACGGTGTTCCTTTTTCACAACTTTTCGAGCGCATTCGAGTAATCCGTATGTACAAGAAAATCTTGAAAGAAATCGACGATAGTCGAACACTTTCCTGGGAAGCAACCATAGATTTCGAGGCTAAACCAGAGCCTTCTCTCGTAAAGTAACCGGTACGAAGCAAAGATACGCGAAAAGAAGTTACGGTTGTTTGAAGCAGTCCAATCGCGTTCGAGCTCGACGAGGAAGAAAAACGGTTGCATCCTCCCTCGCGACCATGCTCCACTTCCTTCGACCTTTCCACGCGTAAATATCCCCGCTTTCAAGGCGACCCGAGGGCACCTAAGATCCGCGGTGCTCCTCTCGCATAATGATTCGTTAGTCTCCCCGTGCAGCCATCGTGGGCTACCTACGGAGCACGACTTCGTACGTAGACTTCGAGTGGCCGTAAGTGGATGGTACCGCAGGGTGGCGCACACACACACGCGCGCGCAAACGACATACTGGTAGCTCGTTTGGTCTCTATTTGTCCCCAGAAGTTCAAGTGGCCGCTCTATACGTGTACGTGGCTGTACGTATACGCGGCACGATCAACCGGTCTCTCCCTGGCTCTCCTTCGATTTTCTCTTTCCACGTCCCGTTTCCGAGGCTGGCCTTCACGGCCAGTATCGACGGCTCAGGCGAGATCCGAGTACCATCGAGCCCGAAACTCGTTATCGAAACTTATGCGCACGCGAAAATCCGCGGCTGATTGCAATCAGCCCTCTTTGCGGACTTCCGCGCGGAGCTCGATTCTCCGCTGTGACTTCGCCAGACGCGGGGGAACCCGACGACTTCCGGTTTAGGGAGCCAAGCGCCCGCCTTCCGTTTTCAAACGGCCGCATTTAAGGTCTCCCTCTCCTGCCGGATAAAAGGACTCCTTCCACGGGGATGAGATGATCGCGGATCTTCAATTGCTTTCTTCGAGTGCCTATTTTTACGAATTCCGTATCGTACTCTCTCCTTATATCGCCTTCCATAGACTCAACATACACTATCGCATTTTTATTTTCCGCTTAGAATTTTTAATAGCAGTTTTGATTAAATATAAATTCTCCACCAACACTGCTTTTAATTATTGAACCATCGTATACTTTTTTTGCTAAAAACAATTATATTGCCCATGGCGGTAAGTCAGCTAAAAATGAAGTGTACTTGCAACTTTCACTCAGCTGTGAACATTGTTAATAGCGCATATGTTGATCCAACGCATGGCTATTCGGTTCTATAGTCATACAGGGTGTACCATTAAACTTTGATTAATAAAACCACAACAAAAATAATTGCAAACGTATCAACTATAATAAAATGTGTATCTCTTGAGGCACTCCATAATGCTTGAACTTTCACTGAGCAGTGAACATTGTGATCCAACACATGGTTGTTCGACTGTCATATAAGGTGTCCTATTAAACTTTGAGTAATTAAGCCACAACAAAAATAATTTCAAACATATCAGCTATAATAAAATGTGTATCTTTTGAGACACTCCATAATGCTTGAACTTTCACTAGGCAGTGAACATTGTTAGCAATGTATATGTTGATCCAACATATGGTTGTTCGGTTATCATACAGGGTGTCATTAAACTTTGAATAATCGAGCTACAACAAAAATAATTGCAAACAAAGCTGTAATAAAATGTGTATCTTTTGAGACACTCCATAATGCTTGAACTTTCACTGAGCAGTGAACATTGTTAGCAATGTATATATTGATCCAACATATGGTTGTTCGGTTATCATACAGGGAGTCATTAAACTTTGAATAATCGAGCCACAACAAAAATAATTGCAAACAAAGCTGTAATAAAATATATATCTTTTGAGATACTCCATAACGCAGACACTCCAATGGCAGTGCAAAGTGTGCCTACGTATTCATAAAGCATTGTAGTAACGGTTAATGCTAACGCCACAGTAGCAAGCTGATATACGAACATTCGTCCGAAAGCATGTGCACATGATCGCAGAACGAATCGTACATGCAGAAGATGCACCGACGAGCGGATTGAACGGAGAGACGCGCGGTAGACGAAACGGCAGACTGAACGAGGGGACGAGCGACCAGGATGCAACCAATGAGCTGCGCAACAATTATTTATTGTTGCCAGACTGCCGCATCGAGCCGAGCAGACTTGTCTGCCCAATGAAGATTGCTCGTTAAAATCTGATTCTGACCGGGTCGATTGCTCTAAATGGCCACCGCCGAAACGACCCGCTCGAATCGGCCAAATGAACGTACTCTGCAACGTTAGCTTTTCGGTGAACAAGTTTATTCGAATCGACGTTTTAAAATTTCTTTACGGAATCTCTAGCTAATTTGTTATCTCGTATGGTTAATCGATGGGCCGAGAAAAATTTTCGGTTCCTAAGACAATATTTACATGGCCTACCTGGTCGAATTCTATCCACCTTGCCTCGAACAAACACGCCTCTTCGAGGACTCTATTTCTGACCAGGCTACCATCATTTGCTTAACACTTTCGGGTTGGAGAATCCGGTGGACGTGTCAGATTGGACAATTTTAACGAGGTGACCCTTCGAAAACAAGTGACGCCTATTTTTATAGAGGGAAATTCGAAATCCCCATTGGTCTTTCTGTGATCTTCAAAAAACTCCTGCTAAATTACCGTCAGTCTCCGTATCCTCCACATTAGTCTCCATCGATCACACGGGACATAGAAATTTGAAAATGTTCACATTCCTAGTTACGTCTGTACATTATTTCATTACGAATATGAATTGATATCAAGCGCAGAAGAATTGCAAGTGAACTATGACAATTCTGCAACGCCCTAGAGCCCCCAGCGCAGGAAAATATCGCGATCATGCCTCGGTAATCTAACACGATAACCTAATAGACGAGTCGAAAAACATAGAGCGTTCTATCGATAATAAAAGGTTTGATTCGACGGTAGTCACCCCTAGTTTCGAAGCTAACAAGTCCGTAGGCAACCAACGCCCCTGAGGTCGATCGATCCGATTGGCCGAGAGACGTAGATACACCCACGCGTACACCCACCACCTGCTCCCTGCAATTAATCTCCTCTCAGCAATTAATCCTCGTCGTGTTCGTGTGTGGTAGCGGGCCGCGTGTGCGCATCTCGAGTATCGTGTTCTGTAGCCGGAGCAGGCAGGTGGACCGATCCGGCTGATCGAAGGGAAATCGAGATGGATCGAGTTGCTGCTACATTGTAATTAGGCATGTTAGCTAGCTGATCCCACCCAGCGAATGTCGAGTTCCGATATATCTAACTGCACCTCGTTAGAATCTAATAAGTGAACTTTCCTTTCTTTTGTTACAGGTACTGATGTATTTATGGACTTTCGAAGATGACCTGTTTGGTGCTTTTTGTTACATAGTAAATAGGGAAGCTTTACAGACCTTGAGAGTAAACAGAATGAACGTAAGAACAAGTTTATTCATATGTGTATCCGTATATTCTTCACATGTACATTCTGGTAAAATATATAGAGCGTCTGAGAGTCTAGAGTCCAAGAGCAGCTCAAGGAGGGACTAGAGCGTAGGACCTACAGTGAACCTCTGATATAGGAGCTGGGCAAAGACCTTGAAAAACTTAAGGAAACCTAAAGAAGATGTAGGAAGAACATAGCTCGATACCAATAACAACTTCCAGAGAACCGATGAACCTACTCATATGTATATTATTTAGGTAAGGCCCTAAGCAGAAAAACTTAATCTACACATAGCTCCTACTATACTTTCCAAGAGAAGTCTCCCTTCACTACTGTGCTTCAACCTTACTCCGCTTACAATGAGCACATACGTTGTGAACGTAAGACCAACTTGGCCCCCAGTTACATTGTACTTCCTTCAAAACATGAACTTACAATTAAAATGTCTGTTTCAGTTTGTCTAAATGCTGACGTCCCTGGATGATTTTCTTTGTAGTATTGATCGATCAGGATCTAAGAAGAAAAACATTTGAACACGTACCTGAGTGGGCGTAAGGTTAATTAGGCCGGCTAGGTGTTCCCGTTCGGGCGCGCTCAGGTATTTCTGCTGCTTGAACCGCCTCTCGAGCTCGTGAACCTGCTGCTGGGTGAACAGAACGCGACGCTTTCGTCTCTGTGGAAGGTGGGGGAATTGCATCCCGCCGACGCCCATACCGACACCGACGCCGACGCCCATTCCCATGCCCGACGACTTCGTCACGTCGCCCATTGACTGGCCCACGGAGCAGCCGGCTATGTTGGTCCCGGCACCTGCCGCCGCGGCGCCCATCAGCCGCGAAACTGCAAAACATATTGGAGAAAACTGACGGTAGTATTTCGTTTTTCTTTCTTTTTATTACTTTATCGAATCCATATTTCGTTCCATTAATTCTCTTCGTTTGGAATTACAGGTAAACGGGGGACAGAAGGAGGTTGTGAAGGTCCGCCATTTTGGAGTAAAATTAGAAATTAGTATAAGTACCTAACTGAGATAGTTCTAAAATTATCATAATTACAAAATCCAGATCTTGAGAAAAGTTTGCAAGACCCCTGATGTTTTAAAATTATAAGAACTCAAAGATCCAACACACTTAAATCTCAAATTCCTAAAATTCTAGTCTCTGCAATTGTCAGCATTACCCCTAAAAAATCAGCTCGCGATCTGAGACCTTCCCTTCTTTAATTTTCGTTACACCACAATCCACCGTGAATCGTTTCTTTACTTTCGACACCGTTTCAGGGGTAACAAAGCCGTCGGACAAATCCCAGGAACAACAGCCAAGACGAGTATCCAGGACCTTCCCAACGAGTATATCAGGACCTTTCCAACGAGTAGATAATTTCCGCAAAGATCTGTCGAGGATCGAGCGAAAACGATAGACGGAAAGGCACGCGAGTACACGAAGATATAAAAAATGGTGACGCGATACGTAGACAAGGCAGTGACCAAGCGTAGAGGTCGAGCCTCTGAATTCGAGCTACTGAAAGCCAACGAGCGGTTCATCCCTCGTCAGTTTGGCGAAGGGCTGTCAAGAACGGACACGTTGGTCCTGTACAAAAGGAGCGATTTAGCCGCGCGAAGTGCTACGTCATCGAGTACGGGAGGTCCAACGATGAGGTCCCGAATTATTATTATGTCTGTGAGAACGTATCTCTCGGCCTGTCAGGCCGGTTCTGGTCGAGAAAGACATACCACTCGAGACACCGGCAGCTAAATTTGTTTGCGCCCGATGAAATTCCTTGGAAAATTGATGAAAATTTTCTTGGTGGAGCCTTCGGTGACCTCTGGTTTTGAGATTCAATAAATTTGCATGTAGCTTTTATAAATTAAGGGAAGGTACCAACTTAAAATGACCATCGTAGCTTCTGTACTGAGTCCTTTTATCTAAAGAAATTAAGTAGTTGAGAGTCAGAGAGTAAACCAACGATGACTTTGAAATCCGCGTTTATCAGTCACCCTCAGTACATTTGAAATTTGATAAATTTTTATGACACCGTGTGAAACTGTTGCATCTATAATCACTGAAAAAACGCTCGAAACCAACACATTTTTCCTCGTCGACAATGTAGCCTTTGAAAGGTTAAAAGATGTCGGATCAATTGATGTTTAATGGACTCTTCGAACAACTTCCTAGCGAACGCTCAGCTTCCGAGTCATCGATGAAACGTTTGAAGATTTCCTTTGAGAGGAATGTGAACCAGGACAATGGAAAGCGATCGAAGAACGACGGATTCAGCGTTTCGACGGAAGTTCTGCGAACACGGGGGTGGATCGAGGACCCGTGAATCTCATTAAGCAAATTGACGTTGTCGAACCCGCCTACCTGACCACCGTAGTCGAATGTCCCATTAGGATGAATCTGACTGACGTGAACATATAATTATAGAGTATCACGAATGATGGACAAACTATCCTCCGATGAAACGTGGACCAATTTACTCGTCGTGCAACTTCAACACCATAGAATGCAAAAGAATGTACATAACTTCTTCTTCGTTCGCTATAGTTTCACAGGGAAGAAGAGCTTATAGAGGGAATATCTGACAATTCATTAGAGTATAAGAATATATAGAAAGTCTAGAGATAACGTTACGTAAAAAAATGGTGATTCGAATCTTTTCTAACCGTAGCTCAGAGAAATTGAATTTGGGAAATGTTCCCAGTGAATGCGCATCGAGTCGTGGCAGACTCTCGCAGCGACGAGGGTCGTCCGAGCTTATTTGTTTAACTAAAATCTCTCGTAGTGTCCGGTAGCCACGCATTTCGGGGCCGAGGATCGATACTTGTCTAGCGGTTGAACAAAGTGGCGCGTGCGGCGGACAGAAATCCAAGGAGACGAACATCTGTTGACACAAGTCCGAAGGACGCGGCTTTGTTGGTCGACGATCTTTTCAGAAGCTCGAAACGCGAGGAACTCGAAAAACCTCCTCGATGCCCTCGAGCATGACTCTCGTACACGCTCGTGTGAGAGCTAGATCCTAGCTGGACACGCATACTTAAACGGATAGTCGCGAGAGGCGTTGATTATTCTACTTTTCAACAATCGGTACCGGTGAATATATTCTCTGGATAAATTACTTGGTTACTGAGTTACCTCACTTATTCTGAAGTTTTTGTTCGACAGATGCAGTGGTAATGAAGGAGAATTTTCGGACGACGACGCCATTACTTATTTCGTACGATGATGAATATGGTCGCTAAACGATATAGGGGAAGAAGGCCCAACTATTCACGTTTCAAGTTTACTGTTCTTAAAACTGTATAGCGCTGTGACTTTCCTAAGAAAAATGGCGACACAGAATGAGTGGTAACATGAACTCTGTAGTAATTACATAGTAACGTGGATAGCGTGGTAATGTGTATTGAGCAATACTTATATCGCATGTAGCAACCCCGGACTCTTGTATGACTACATGCAAGGTGAAGTATATTTAACAAAACTTTACCTGTTTCTTTAAACATACCCATAAACTATATCACGGACTTTGATTTTCCAGATTCCGCTGTCTAATTAAAACAAGAATAGAATAGATACGGACACGTCGAAACGTATACTGTTACAAGCGACGGAACAATTCATGAGTCTACAGTCACGAGACGACGATACGAACAAGACTACTGTGGACATTGAAACACGAGTCCGACGCTTCATCGATACCTAAATGGACTAAGTGCGAGCTGGTCTCGAAGTCGATAAAAGCGGGACAGACGTGCCTCGTCGAAGGCGAAAGGGATGATCGCGTGCAACTCGTGAAAGAACTCCCGAGAATCGAGACTATTTACTTCCATCCACGATTCTCCTTTTCCCGAACAAATTTTCTACTTGCGCGATCCACGTATCAAGCGTTTCAAAACGCATCCGTGTAAAATTGGTCTCGTTTGAGGGAAACGATTAGGAAATTAGGAGACGGAGAGGACTGTAATCCCTACGATACTCCATTGTTATGGCGCGATGGAACGCTTGATGAGGAGGAAACGTAGAAGTATTACGCATTTTAAAACGAAGAGAAGATACTCACTGGCAAAACGCGGGTCGTTGGTAGCCGGTGGAGCCGGGGCGTACCAAGGATGATGGGACCTCATGGGGTCGGTGGCGGTGGCACCTCCTGCGACCCCTGGACCCGCGTGATGATAGGACAACTCAGCCGCGCAATATTGATATTGCGAGGTGAGTTGCATAGTAGCGTAAGGATTACCCATGGCAGTCATGCCTGCCCCGGCACCGGCAGCGCTGCTGCCTCCTCCGGTGGCGTCGT